ATAAATAAAATAGTGATAAATAAAAACGGTCACTCTCTAACCTCTCTCTAGTAATTAAAACCAGATACTCTTGTGGGCCTATCACAGCAGCAAGTTATTTTATTGGTTTTGTTTTTGTTTTTTGAGACAGGGTCTCTGTTGCCCAGGCTGGAGTACAGTGGCACGATCTCAGCTCACTGAAGCCTCGACCTCCAGGGTTCAAGTGCTCCTCCCTCCTCAGGCACCCAAGTAGCTGGGCTCAGGTGCGCACCACCACACCGGGCTAACTTTTGTATTTTTTGTAGAGACAGGGTTTTGCCACATTGCCCAGGCTGGTCTCAAACTCCTGAGCTCAAGTGATCCTCCTGCCTCAGCCTCCCAAAGTGCTGGGATTACAGGGGTGAGCCACCGCACCAGACCTGTATTTTTAATTCTAAAATGCATTTTAGGTTAGGATTTAAAGACAACATGTTATATCTGCGTGATGGCATTGCAAGTGACTGTCATTTTCTCTGTAATGTTCAATTTTTTAAATTTTTCTCTGACTACCACGTATTCCTTTTGTAATTTCAATTAGTGGCTTTTTTTTTTTTTTGACAGGGTCTCACTCTGTCACTTAGGCTGAAGTGCAGTGGTGCTATCATAGCTCACTGTAACCTCGAACTCCTGGGCTCAAGCAGTCCTCCCACCTCAGCCTCCCAAAGTGCTGGGATTACAGGCGTGAGCCACTGCTCCCGGCCTTCTGTGACCATTTTTAAGGCACTTGATACATCTTGCAAAATTGCCCTCCAGGAAAGTTCCACTGTTACGCGCCCACCAGCAAGGTTCACTTTCATTTTTAAATTTCATCTCATTTTGTTTTAGTCTGCTCATATTTCTAATCTTGTTATATCCCTTTTTATTATTTCTTTGGGGTTCCGATGCCTCCCAATTTAGTGTTCTTGTTGAATTTCATTAGCATCTGTTTCATTAGCAGTGCAGCCGAAGGATTAAAGTGTTAACTAGGATAGACTGACAAAAACCTATAAAAATGTATGTTATTATCTTTGCATAAATCCTATTTAATCAAAGTTCCCCAGAAACCTCGCACCAGGGCTTATCTCAAGGGACGGAACTGGCCACTGATGATTTTTCTAGACCGTGGCATGTGGCTCTGTCTCAGTGGGAATGGTACATTCATGATCTATCTGGATTCCTGTCATAACACGGTTTTACTGGGTTTCTGTGTCCTATCACATCCCATCAATTCACTGCCCGTTGCTTTCACTCTTCAGCAACGAAGGAATTTTTTTTTTTTTACTGTATTTATTTATGTTTATTTTATTTTTTTATTATTTTTTTCTTGAGACGGAGTCTTGCTCTGTCTCCCAGGCTGGAGTTCACTGGCATGATCTCCACTCACTGCAAGCTCTGCCTCCCAGGTTCATGTCATTCTCCTGCCTCAGCCTCCCAAGTAGCTGGGACTACAGGGGCCCACCACCACGCCCGGCTAATTTTTTCTATTTTTAGTAGAGATGGGGTTTCACCATGTTGGCCAGGATGGTCCAGATCTCCTGACCTCATGATCCACCTGCCTTGGCCTCCCAAAGTGCTGGGATTACAGGTGTGAGCCACCGCGCCTGGCTGAAGGAATCTATCTTTAGTTTGGGTCCTTGATTAGACACACACCCACAATTTTCTCATTATGTAAAATATATACCAAAGGATGTATATTCTCAAAGTATTGTGAATGAATCTTTTTTTCTTTACTTGAATCCCAGTTTAAAAGCACTAGGGATGGCCAGGCACGATGGCTTACGCCTGTAATCCCAACACTTTGGGAGGCCAAGGCGGGTGGATCATGAGGTCAGGAGTTCGAGACCAGCCTGGCCAACATGGTGAAACCCCATCTCTACTAAAAACACAAAAATTAGCCGGTTGTGGTGGGCGCTTGTAATCCCAGCTACTCGGGAGGCTGAGACAGGAGAATCACTTGAACCCAGGAGGCGGAGGTTGCAGTGAGCCTAGATCATGCCACTGCATTCCAACCTGGGGAACAGAGTGAGACTATGTCTCATAAATAAATAAATAAATAAAAATAAACACACTAGGGATATTAGCAAGGTACCCTTTTGGTATAGAATCACTCCCTCTTTGTTTTAATACAAAATGTCACAGATTAAATTTGGTTGATGAAGTACATACATATTCTCACTTTCTGTTATCTCTACTGATAGATGATTAATGCAAAATATTGAGTAATTTTTAAAAATCAATACTTAATTTTTTAGAAATAATTAGAGATTTAACTCTGACATAAATACCCACAGTTCCTGGGCCTACTTCTGTCAGAGGGTAATCTATAAATAATTCACAGAGCTGACATTACTCACTGTAGTGTGATCATTCTTTTCTGGAAAATTTTAGCAGCGGTTCTAACATAGATTGCCAGTTATCAGTAGTTGGCAATGCAAGTCCACTTTTAATTATGCACGCGCTGATTATTCAGACTACAAATTGCCCATGCCCTGGCCGGCTTCTTCCTGCCACCTGCCTTTTAGCATTTTCACTGCTCGTTAGCACATACACCAGAAAGTGGGCATTGAACAAGGCAGAGAAGAAGAAACAAAATCAGTGAAGCACTTCGGAGAAGCTCTGATGAGAGATTTTAATACAATTTGTAGAATTATTAACTAGAATTGAGTCATTTGGATTCCCTGTGAAATGTATTTACTTGTTCTATTCTTGTTCTCCTTAGCAACAGATAGTAGACTTGCCTCCAGAGAGACAACATTATTCCTATTATTCCTACATTTAGTGTTTTCCTTTATAAAACTTATTTTTTTTTTGGAAAAAAGAGTCTCACTCTGTCGCCCAGGCTGGAATGCTGCGGTGCGATCTTGGCTCACGGCAACCTTTGCCTCCCAGTTTCAAGTGATTCTCCAGCTTCAGCCTCCCGAGTAGCAGGGATTACTGGTGCACGCCACCATGCTCAGCTAAGTTTTTATATTCTTAGTAGAGACGAGGTTTCACCATGTTGGCCAGACTTGTCTCAAACTCCTGACCTCAAGTGATCCGCCTGCCTCGTCCTCCCAAAGTGCTGGGATTACAGGCATGAGCCATGTACCCAGCCTATAAAACATTTTCATGTGATGGTTCATAATATTTTCTTAATCCATTACATTTATACCTAGACTATTTATTTCTTTATGAATTTTTTTGTTTTGTGAGACAGAGTTTTGCTCTGTTACCCAGGCTGGAGTGCAGTGGTATGATCTTGGCTCACTGCAACCTCTGCCTCCTGGATTCAAGCAATTCTTGTACCTCAGCCACCAGAGTAGCGGGGACTACAGGCGTATGCCACCATGCCCAGCTAATTTTTGTATTTTTAGTACAGACAGGGTTTTGCCAATTTGGCCAGGCTACTCTCAAACTTCTGACCTGAGGTGATCCGCCCAACTCTGCCTCCCAAAGTGCTGGGATTATAGGCATGAGCCACAGTGCCCAGCCTGGTGAGTGGTTTTTTTGAGATTCCTGGCATGTGTTCGGTGATATCACAATTGTTTGATGCTTTTTCCAGTTTTCCAGAAAACTGAATATTTCCTCTTAGATACTAGTATCTTTTATCTTCCAACCTGTTTTGTTGGAAACATAATTTGCCTCGTGCTTAAACTGAGGCTACTGAACATAATCGAAGCATTTCTGTGTGCCCAAGATTATCTTTACTGTACATAGTCCTAGGGCAGATGGCTTTGACAGAAACCGGCACAGGTAGAGCCCCTGGCTAAGTGAAACGGCACAGGTGGACTTTTAAAATGCTGATTAGCCACCATGTTTTCTTTTCTCAAATGAACAAACTTTTTCTTTTTTTTTTTTTTTTTTTTTTGGAGACAGGGTCCCACTCTGTTGCCCAGGCTGGAGTGCAGTGGCGCGATCTCGGCTCACTGTAACCGCCACCTCCCGGGTTCAAGCAATTCTCCTGCCTCAGCGCCCCGAGTAGCTGGGACTACAGGCGCCCACCACCGCGCCCGGCTAATTTTTTGTATTTTTAGTAGACACGGGGTTTCACCATGTTAGCCAGGATGGTCTCGATCTCCTGACCTTGTGATCCGCCCGTCTCGGCCTCCCAAAGTGCTGAGATTACAGGCGTGAGCCACTGCACCCGGCCAAAATTAACAAAATTTTAAAGTAAACTACTATGGGCTTGAAAAGACCAAAAAAGAAAAAGAAATAAATTTTACAAATATGGTAAAACTTTTTTTAAATATTTATTTTTTATTTTTATTTTTTTATGTGTTTTTTTTTTTTTTTTTTCCAGACAGGGCCTGCTGTCACCCAGGCTGGAGTGCAATTGTGCAATAATGGCTCACTGCAGCCTCACACTCCAGGGCTTAATTGATCCTCCTGCCTCAGCCTCCTGAGTAGCTGGGACTACAGATATTTTTTTTTTTTTTTTTAGAGACCAAATCTAGCTGTGTTGTCCAGGCTGGCCTTGAACTCCTGGGCTCAAGCAATCCTTCTGCCTGAGCCTCGGGGTTACAGGCAGGAGCCCCGGTGCCTGGCCTGCTTAAATATATAAAGTTCGGGTTAGTAACTAGGTCGCTTGTTCTATTAACCAGCCAAAGACCAGATAAACAAAAGCCTTTGGGCTCTAAAAGTCTTTGGGAAGTCACCTCGACAGGGGCTCTGGTTTCTGTGTTCTCCCTCAGGAACATCATGAAACTATCTAGAACGCTCCCTACTCTGCATTCCTTGTTTATTGCTTTTCTATAAGTTCTCATCTTTGGCTATTTCGTGGTGTAGAGACACAGTCGTTAGGTTCCAGGACTCCAGTGGACTTGGTGTGGTTCATCCACTTTGCTTCCTGGGGACCGGAGCTTGCCATGAGTCATGTTCCATCTGATTTACATTGGATCCGGCTGTGGTGCCATGACTCACATGGGCTGCAGGCCTAGCTGCCTGGCTCATCTTCTGAGGCATAGACGACGGGGCCAGGGCTCATGTCCTGACACCTTTTTCCTTCTTTCCTCTTGCCCTGTCAGGATCTAAAGAGAGCATCGTTACTGACAGCAGGCAGGTGCGCCTTGCCACAGGCATCTTCCCCGTTATCAGCCTCCTGAACCACTCCTGCAGCCCCAACACCAGCGTGTCCTTCATTAGCACTGTCGCCACCATCCGCGCATCACAGCGGATTGGAAAGGGGCAAGAGATTCTCCACTGCTATGGTGAGCCATCCCTCCGCACTGCTGTCCCACCCTTCTCCAACAGAAAAGGACGGGTGGACGCGAGTCAGCAAGCCCCCGGGCATGTGACTTCACCTGTCTACTGTCTGCTTCCTGGAAGAGGCGGAGAACACTCAGGCCTAAAATAAGGAAAGGAGGAAGGAAGGGAGGGAGGGAGGAGGAAGGAAGGGAGGGAGGAAGGGAGGGAGGGAGGAAGGAAGCGGAGGAGGAAGGAATGGAGGAGGGACGGAGGGCACCGGGGGCGGACGCGAGGCGAGGCCGCACGACGGCAAGGCGGGAACGCAGCCCAAGAAGCGCGGAGGGACAAGGGAGGCAGCGGAGGCAAGGAGGAGGAAGGAAGGCGGGAGGGAGGAAGGGAGGACAGCGCGGCGGACGAGGGAGGGAGAAGGGAGGCGAGGGAGCACGGAAGCGCGGAGGGGAGGAAGGAAGGAAGGAGGGAGGGAGGAGGATGAAGGAAGGCAGGGAGGAAGGGAGGGAAGGGAAGGAGGGATGGAGGACGGGAGGGAGGGGACGGGAGAAGGCACGGGAGGAGGGAGCGAAGGGAGGCGAGGGCACGGCCAAAACAAAGGGGGGGCAACGGGCCACCGGCGAAGGGCAGGACGACCGGGAGGAACGCGGACGGCGAGGCGACCCGCAACCCGCCCGCCGCCCAGCGCCGACGGGAGGGCAGGCAAGGGAGCGGACCGGTCGAGGAAGGCCACAGGACGCCGCAGCCGCCCACGACGGCAGACGGGAGCGACCGAAGGAATGCCGGGAGCGGGAGCGAAGGCCAATGCCGGATC